CCTCTCTCCGCAGGTGAACAGAGAACTCTTTACCCTTTTGTTCTTCTAAAGACTTTAAAGCTGTAGGGGCTTTATCACATGGCTGGGAAATCAGAAGAGAAGAAAGTAGCTTCTTTAGTGACAAACACAGCAAACTCTCCTATTGAGCTCTGAATACCTGAGAAAGGATAGAAAGAGAAATGCAGCACTGCAGAAGAAGTCAGTGTAACCCTGATTCAGGGTGGCCACAGAATGCCTAGAGCTCCTCAAGCAAAACAATGGAGTGAGAAGTTAGCTCCAGGAGCCTGCATATAGCAGGCTTTTGAAGGGAGAGCTCTGAGTGAAAGGCAGCCATTAAACAAGCCGTGACAGGTAAAGCACACACTGTCAGACTCTCCCAAACGCTCCTCTTTTACAGGTTTCAACAAGGGCTTTAAAATTCCCTTGCAGCAAGATGGATACAGCAAGAGGTCTGAATAAATCTTGCCATGGAAATGTGCACTGTTCTTGGTGGTGATGCATAGGAAATGGAAAACACACATAGGTGTTAACATGTTCCAGCTTCCCACTTACACACTGGCCACGCTTGCTTTCTGGTCACTCCCAGTGATGCTATTCAGACAGCTCCATTGCACTTCAAGTCTGTATTCCTGCTCTGGGAATATCCCTGTATCTCTACTGCAGAGAACTGCAGCATACATAAAAAAGCGAACTAAAGCACTTTCTTCCTCTCACCCAGGGCTGGAAGAAGATTTTTGGTGTAGTGACAGACTCCAGATCTTGAACTCAAAGGAGCTATGTCACCTGGCACAAAATTATGAACTAACTCCTTGTGTTTTGAAGAGATTTTTGAGCTGAAACGTTCATATCAGTTTCTATGACAACTCGTAGGTCACCCATGAAACCTCCTCATTGAAGTAGTTGCAGGTAATTTGTATTTATCAAATTGTTGGCTACTTTGCCAATGCTTTTCTTACTGACCCCAAACTCTCAGAAGGGCCAGACTATATAATAATTACTCTGCAGTATGCCTATTAAAAGGGCCTGATGTGATGCAACTAATTTATAAGTAATACTTAAGAGTATGAGTTGCAATATTATTAATTTTCTTGAGCAGGAAAAGCCTTTCACCTTATTTTCTCTTGCTTCTGCAAATCAGATCTGTATGTGCAACTTGTATCTACCTACAGAAGAATCTTTCTTTAGAGCTATGGTTGCTATGCTCAAATTTAGTAAGTTTTCTTAGAATTCTGAAGAACAAATAAATGTAGTTACAGCTAGGAAAAAGAACCACATCTATAAACATATAAAGAGACCTGGAGAAGTATTTTTTATGCATAAAACCTTGCTTACTTTTCAACAATTATTTCCATAGATCTATTAAAACATATTGCTCTTCCCTACCAACCTTGCCGAAAAAAACAACAACAAACAAACAAAAAAACAAAACAAAAAATAATATGTATTTCAAAGCCAAGAACAGACTGTCAGGTTTAATCACCTGTGCTATACTTGCCAGAGAATGTTACCTGGTTATGCATACAATAAGACTATGCCATTTTTTAGTTTCCAGTGGCTTATATAAAGAAGTAAACTTACAAAAAATACATGTCCTCTGACTTCACCTGAGCTGGTAACTGCCTTTTGC